TTTTTTTTTTTTTTTTTTAAGAAAAACAAACTTCTTTAATATAGTAGTTCTATTTTTCCAACGAAAGACACGTAGTGCTCACGATACAACGCGCACACACACCGACCACTTGTGCTTTTTTTCTGTTCGTGCGATTTTCTGAATTAGTCCTTCGTTAGACCACCTCGATTAATGGCACGTTAAAGCATACATATTGGGCGTAATTACAATGCTCTTCATGAATACTTGTTGTCTTTTCAGTCACTTCTTCGTTGAACTGTCAAAACTGAAAATATGATCATACACTCTCACGGCTGTCCATCGCTCGTCTTATCAGACATTACACTCGACTCTCCCACTGATCTGCTCACTGTGTTTCGGTCCAACAATGCGCACCGACCACTGCGCACCCTGACGTCTGAATTCTGTCGACAAAATATAAATATGCCCAATCTATGTGGACACCGATCGAATAATTACGAGTCCGAGATTCGAGTTAAATGACCCGTCCGCGCTCGTTGCGAGATTTTGTATGCCATGGAAAGACGGGCACGATTCTGTGAAATGAAAAGCCCAGCGTACTACTTTCCTGTGGCGCAGGCGCGCGCATGCGTGCTTTGAGAATGCTGCGTCGACTGCTCCACCACCATTTTATACTTTATGAGATCGCCAGAATACGTACCCATGTTGTGACTTTACAAAGGTGTTTCCATTTATGTAGCATTTTTATCTTTTGATAAATATGTTTATGTTTCTTTATTTTCCATTTAAAGGTAAATTAGATATCACTTGTATATCCTTATCTTTTAACTCGAATATAACTGATCAAGTAAAATTTGGAAAAGGGTTTAATGCGATAAATCGATTTGATGTTTTCAAATAATTATATAAACTTTCAAAGATGCCTTCGATTTCTAATATTGTTCGAGACTTATGAGGAACAATATAAATTTACACGAATACTATCCGAAGAACAAAAGTAAAGCTGATAATAAGGTATTGCGCATTTTCCATTTTCCGTCATTTCCTGCACTGTAGAGCAAATTGCGATTGAGTAATGGACATCAAGCATCTAGTAATTGCTGAATAAAACCCGTATTTTTCGCACAATTACTGTACCCATTACATAGTGTTAATAACACAAATGCAGTTTTAAAAGTAAAAATCGATTTTACGCTATCAAAATCATTATACAAAAATTTTGTAACTGCAATACATTTGTTCACACAATTCAGATTTTTTATACAAACTGTTATACGTTAGAAATAGAGCATTGGTCGCCCAATGAATAAACATTTCGTGCCGTGATCGTTATTGTCGAACGATCAGGTGAATTATAAACAATCGTATAGTGAAAGCAGGCTAGATCAGTAGCTAGTGTTAAAAATTTCTTTACTGTTATAGATGAAACATATTACTAGAAAAAGATAACTTGTGGATCGGATTACACTATACGGGAAGTAATTGCGTATTTTCGACGAAGAATTCACATACCAGGAATTGCTATTCGACTTATAAAGTATATATCTTATTACGTTTTATCTCTGCCTGTAATCAACCGCGTCAAGCAAAGGATCAATGCATTCAACGGTTATTACCTTTACAAAATGTGCGTTTGTTTTGAAAATAAGTAAAAAGCATATCCATGCAGATCAGTTCGATTGTTTATTATAGTAGAAGTGATTAATTCGAGAAAGAATTTGTTTAAATTAACTACACTGATCAATAAGTCTTCGTTATATATAGATTTCATTAAATGGTTTAATGAAGCGCACATTATTAACGCTTTTAAAGAAGTGTTATGAAGGTCTGTATCACAAAGCGTTCTTATTACCTACATTTTTTTTTAACCTCTGAAAAATGATATTAGAAATTATAAAAATTTAAACATCATTTTTATCAAATTGCCCTCAGGTTATAAATATTATAACGTTGTTCAAAAAATTGAACGACAACTTTTAAAAGCTTTGCTATTTCTAAATAAAAAGTGATCGAGTATATGGGTTTTTATTCTCGAAATAATCCCGATCAGTGTAACGGGGTCAAAAATTTCTGTAAATTCTTGTCATCATTCTAAGTGCGGCTCGTCACGCGAACAATGTCGGCTCGCCACTGTATACCAAACTCTTATGTAAGGCTCGTCATGCGAATACATTGTTTATTTGGGTTATTGCTTAGTTGTTTGTAGGGGCCAATGTTTTTAGGAAAGAAGCGGTACCATGCGCAACGATACACACGGTTGTGCGCGTTAGCGCGGAAATTGAATTACCTTTGTGCGACTGCAACGATGAAAGCGAGGCCGGATTGTACCATCTTGCAAACGGTCTTCCAATTAAACGTAGCTACGAAGTGCAATTTACACGTCAAAGGATCTTGACGGTAACGTTTCCGTTGATTTTGTTCTAGATAATACGCCTCATCGATCATATATTTCTCATTAAAATATTGAAAGCATCTGCTGAAAATTGATAATTAGAGATCAACAATTTATTCATATCATCATTGAGATATTAAGAATGTACAGAATAATTAACACGTGTGGTAAAATGCAAGCAAGAAGATTAACTTTTATTTTATTTTTATTTCAGTATAGCGAAAAGAAGTGATTCATTTTCAATGTTAATCAAGATTGATTTGAAGACATTAGTTTTTTAGCTAATGGAATGACGAAGCGAAGACTTAAGGTGTTTCAGTATACCGTTCTCTGAAAACTTTTTTACAATTTAAAGCAAGTCGGAGTTAGATCACAGGAAATTAACGTAGGTGTTTTGCGTTTGGGGGATGAAAACGACTGATGTAGGAGATTATATTTATTCAGTCGAATCTTGGACAAAACGAACTGTACCAGTGTGATCAGAATTTTTATGGAAAGGCAGTGGCGAATTCATGAATACGCGTGCGTTCGCTTCCTGTTCAAGATTTACGGGCATCACAAATGCACGCTTCCGCCCACATTCAATGAAAGTTTCCAAGACATTCGCACGCCATTTAATCAAGCTAGCCCTAGCCTTCATTCCCAATAACGAACGTGATTTCGTGTTGGTCGTTTCTTTGGCAGTACGTTTTCTTGCAAACAATATACGTAGGAAAGTGCAAAAGATCATACGTTGAATAATACCTATACAAAATTGAATAATAATACCTATATAAAGATAATCGATATAAGATCAGAAAAGGAAATATAATACAATTAATTGCACTTTGTCATTGTTATGGTAATTTCCTTGAATTTAAATTTGAATTTAAATTGATTTTAAAAAACTTTTAGGTTGACCGAACTATTCGATCTTTTATTATACTTTAAGATTTATCTGAAGCAATCACATGGAATTAAGATTTGTCAACGTATAGATTCTGCACGAAAAAGGTTTCGAGTGCGGAAAATATAAATTGCATGCGTTAAAATCCGGTTAATCGAATTTAAATGATATTCAGACTTTATTAAGGTTTCCCGCGACTTCGTACATACCTTTAACATCACTGTTTTCATTATCATAACCGTTACGTTATTACAGTCTTACGAAGACTGACACTATTACACAATGAGACGGTCATTAACAGGGAACAATTAAATTAAGTAAGTGGAAAATATCATCGTTGAATATTAATAACTTTATCATCGCTTAGCTACGTGATATAATTTTAATTGTTTTCGATCGGTAAAGGAATCTTTCATTACATTTACAAATTTATTTCAGGTATAATTACCAAACATTTTACGTCGAAAAGCGATAGTTCTTAAAATTACCGGATTAACCTTGAACCCAAAATCGTCCGCGCCATCCTGGCTGATCCTTGAAGAATACAAGCCGCAAACAAGAGAAAGAAAGGTATTAGGAGAAGAAAAGGAGTCTTCGAAAACAAGGTTAAAGACAAGCACGGTAAAAAAAGGAATAGAAAAACGGAATGAAAGAAGAAACGTAAGAAGAGATGAAAAATAAGTGGAAAAAATGAGGAATAAGAAGGGGTCTACTCGTGTCTGAAGACGACCCTTGGTGAAAATGCAATTTCGGTTCTTGTCTGGAGACGACGTCGCTACCATGGCTCATCTTCCTGGCGCGTACCCCCTTCAACATTGTTGAAGACACAGGCTCTCGTGCACACAGAAGTTCTTCTCTCTGGCATGTTCCAGGAGATGAAAGGCTCCCGTGGCTATCAAAGGGAAAGGGAAGAGAGGTAAAGGCCCCACCCGACAATGGCCCTGAGCTCCAAGGTTTTCAGCCTCGACGTCCAGGCCTCGGAGGTCCAGTCGTGTGATTTCAACCGGTCCGTCAAGCGATTCTGATTTTTTCAGATTAGAATAATACCACATTTGTTTTGATTTTTTAATCATATTGAATTTGCTTGAGAAAATTTTAAAAAACCGATAAGTTTCGGTTTATTTTAAAGGCTACTGTGGGGTTTACCAAGTTCTGTGAGAATTTTCTATGTCTAGGAAGAAACGGAGGAAAAACACCAGTGGATTATTCACGGAGAAACGTTTCCTCTTTTAACCGATTACGAAACGAAGAAAGAAGGCGGTTCTAAATTTACATTGGTTCATTTTGCATCCTCGTCCACGAGGTGAACGCGCTCACCGACCAGCGACATCTCGACGGAGAACCATCTTCGGCAACGAGAACCGGAACAAGATGTTCGATGAATTTTCTAAGAGATGTTTGAGCGCACTGCCAATGATTCAGCGTTCTTGATCGATTGCCACGAGAGTGAGAGGGAGGATATCGATAATACACGTGCCTTGCTTTACATTATTGCATATCTTGATGAAGAATTTTCAAAGTTGCAACTTGTGTTCTTGTGAAGCAATAAGAATAAGGAGTAACTCCCAAATCTTTTTAAACAATTGGGGTTTCTTTCAATCATCGAATAAAATTAAATCAAATATCTTAGTAATTCTAATTAAAATTCTTC